AAAAAAAAAATGAACGCGCGTGGCGACCACGCGTTCATTTTTGAAGTGAAACTTCTTTAGGCACGGTAGTGAATTCGATTCGCGACACGATTGTGCGACACAAAAAGTGTAACGAAAATTTGACCAATCGGCGTACGGCGTTGGCGAGACGGTACTTCTTCTTGCACGGTAGTAAGTTTGATTATGCGACACGGAAAGTGTAACAAAAATTCGACCAATAGGCGTACGAAATGAAACTTCTTTGGTACGGTAGTAAGTTCGATTGTGCGACACGGAAAGTGTAACAAAAATTCGACCAATAGGCGTACGAAATGAAACTTCTTTGGTACGGTAGTAAGTTCGATTGTGCGACACGGAAATGTAACGAAAATTCGACCAATAGGCGTACAGCGTTGGCGAGACGGTTCTTCTTCTGGTAATAAGTTTGATTATGCGACACGAAAAATGTAACAAAAACTCGATTAATAGGCGTACGAAATTAAACTTCTTTGGTACGGTAGTAAGTTCGATTGTGCGACACGAAAAGTGTAACGAAAATTTGACCGATAGGCGTACGGCGTTGGCGAGACGGTTCTTCTTCTGGCACGGTAGTAAGTTCGATTATGCGACACGAAAAGTGTAACGAAAATTTTCGACCAATTGGCATACGAAATGAAACTTCTTTAATTGGTACGGTAGTAAGTTCGATTGTGCGACAACGAAAAAACGTCACGAAATAGTGTCACGAAAATTCGACCAACAGGCGTACAAAGTGAAACTCCTTTTGGATCGGTAAGTAAATTCGATTTTGCGACTCGAAAACGCGTCACAAAAATTCGATCAGGCGTACGGCACTGGCGAGACGGATATAGTGAGAACTGCGTGTAACACTATATTTTCGAGTTGCGGGCGGCTTGGAGTGACTAATTCCGTTGCATTGTTTTTGTATTAATTTCAGAAAAGTTATGGCAAAGCCTTGCCTTCAGAAGTTTCACTTCTAACGCGCGTGGCGACCACACGCATGATTTTTTTTTACACAGAAATATTGTCACTAAAAAATTAGATGAAGATAGTTTGTAATCATACAAAGATATACTGTTTAGTTAATGTACACATCTTTTTAATTCACATATCTCTCATTTACTACCGATCATCATTTCATAATGATGCATTTGCAACGAAATAGATACGTCAGCAACATTCGAAACCATCGACTGGAAAAAGCATTCCTCTTGGTCTATTCGTTGTGACGGATAAAATCATATAATTTCAGCACTCAGCAGTGGATTCACTTCAATTGATGCGATTTTAAGACAGAGCTCAATTCAAAGAATCCTCATCGTCGTTACTAAATATGCTTACAAGGCCTGTGAATAGCGCTAATTTCCTTGCCATGCGCATATCTTTCTTTTTCGTGGCTGTATCCTGATTAGGCATCATCTTGTCCGCAATATGCTTATAGACTTTTTCATTCAGCATTAACGTAAAAAAGCCGTCGTACCACCTGAAATCGTTATATATAATTGTCTCGGTATTATAATCAATTTTATAATAAGTGTTTCCTCTCCGATAGCATAAACAAAATTAATTTTAGGAAATCTAAATTATTTTATCTTTTTCTTAAAGTAGAATAAAAAACAAAACTAAAAATCAAGTTCTTTTCAAATAATAGACAACTTGAATTAATTATAATTAATGTTTATAAGAACAATTTTATATTACTATTAAAAGGAATGTTTCAAAGCACTGATTACACTTACATTTCCTGGTTAGCGCTTATTTTATGACATGTTGTATTTTCCAAATTTTACTTCCAAAACATAGAAAATACCTTCCAGCCTGTGACGACACCACGTATACGCCAACGAACCTGCACGGTATCGTTTTCAGAATGAATTGTGATCTTTAGGATGTCAAGCTTGACGTGTGCAAACTTCATATGATCAATGAACCTTAATAGTATCAATTGGTTCGCATAACTCACAAGTCCCCTGCAATATTTTTTAAGCATATTATGAGAAAATGGAAATACTTAATGCTAAAAACTCTCAATTGCTTTGAATACTTAATAAAATTAATTTTCGTTACTCTTCTAATATTGTTGATAACACAGGCACACGAAAAAAAAAGGTTTTGTCCACCAGACGAGACATACATTTCTATACGTTTTTGGGGTCGCTGAATCCGAATCCGGAGTCGGTTTGACTCGGTCAGATCGCATTTTGTTTCTAACCTAAAAAAAGTGATGAAAGTTGAAACATTTATTGAAATGCCCAGAAAGGAAAGCAATTATATGTTTTTAGGGTCGCTGAGTCCAAATTTGGGGTTAGTTTGACTCGGCCAGGCCGCATTCCTAACCTCAAAAAAATGATTGAAAAAACCGAAAACTGACCCTGATATAAACTTTTGTATTCAGCGTTGGGTACATAGAACTTGTTAGTCATTTTTTTAGCATAAAATCCTGCTGCTTTGACAGATACTGTAACGATGACAACTGCCCCGAAAGGGGATGTGTAGAATGATTCGTTCTCAGGTTTGTTGAGGTAACGATGCCAGCAAAGGCGCGCTGCCTTGCAGGTGGGCGTTGTTAGGTTTAACCGAAATAAACCAGTACGCAGTGGTATAATTGTACGAATCTTTATTACTACAGAGGATAAAATAAACACACGTTCCACCTGGAATGGCGCGAGACAGAGAGAGCCGCGTTCCGAAACTCATCGATTACGAGCATAAGGGAGATCGGCAACAATACTGCCAACTTCTCCAGCGGTGTAACTAATCTTACTAGAATAACTGCACTCTTGCACCGATAATTCATTGCCTTTCACACTCCCTCTCAATGGATTATTTCATAAAACACAAACAACAAAAAATAAACTGACTCTTTTACAATCATTTAACACATAGTAATTATCTTAATCTACTATACTACTTACTATGTTCTCTCACTATTCTGTATTAAGGATCTTATCTCTAAACTTTTTAAACAAGTTACCTCCCAGTGGTTTTGTAAATATATCGCCTATCTGTTCACTAGTACATACATATTTAATATTGATAATACCTGCATCTAACTTTTCCTTTATAAAGTAATGTTTAATATCTAAATGCTTGACTCTCCTATTTGCAGGATTATGTGCGATCTTAATGGCTGACTGATTATCTTCGTATAAAGTTATACAATCGACAATAATACCGAACTCCGATAACAATTCCTTGAGCCAGCACGCTTCGCTAGTCGCAGTACTTAGAGCTGTATATTCTGACTCTGTAGTTGATAATGCAACTGACTGTTGCTTCTTTGACGACCATATTACCGTACAATTGAATGCCTTAAAACAATAACCTGTCGTAGATTTTCTATCCTGTGGACTACCTCCCCAATCGCTGTCCACAAAGCCTTCTACAGCACTACGATCATCTCTCTTATACACTAGATTTAAGTCAATCGTACCTTTTATATATCTTAATACATTTTTTAATAGTTTATATAACATTGTACTTGCACAGTCTTGAAATCTACTTAACATTGTAACAGTTGCGCATAAATCAGATCTAGAACCCATTACAGCATACATAAGACAGCCTATTAGTTTCCTACATTCAGTCTCTATCTCTTTACTTTCTGACGTTGTTCTCTTCAAAGTATCAAATTTAAAATTCTTATCTATAGGTAACGACAAAGGTAATTGTAAAAATGTCCTGATTGTCCACATTTAAAGCACTTATTTATATTTTTCTTCACTGCTGACATCGCAACACTCTTCTCAGATGTATCCATCTTCGCTTTCAGCCGTTCTTCCTCGACCAACAGTCTCGCTATTAAGTTATCTACTGTCTGTCTTTCTTCTGATGTCGACTCCCATGCTGATACAAAGTGGCCGTATCCCTCAGGCAAGGACATCAAGATCTTTGTCATAACAAATTTGTCTGACATTTCTTCACCCAGCGGTTTCAGTTTACTCTGAAACTCCTGTACTTTTGATATGAATAGCGACATGTCCATACCTTGAGTATATTTCAGTTGAAAAAATTGCTGTTGCACCATATGAATGCTTGTGTCACTCCTCTGCTCGTACACACTATGCAGCTTTCTCCACATTTCCGCCGCACTTGTGCATGTCAGGACATGCAACATTACAGATTCTGACAGTCTTGTAACGATTAAACTTTGAGCTTTGGAATCTTCTTTCAGCCATGCTGTCCGCTTTGGTTCTGCCTCTGGTTTTATCCTCGTACCTTCTGCGATCTCGAAAACCCCTCGCAGCAATACACTTACCTGGAATTTCCACACATTCCAGTTTTTGGCTCCTTCCAGCTTCACGACGCCCACTGTTGCCGATGTTAACTGATCCATTGTTTCCCGGATCGCCAAGCAGCTCGTTTCGTTTTAACCGACACGCCAACGACAAAATGTCCGCCACGGTCGTTCCGTTACACGAGTACCGCACTGCCTCTTTCGGCTTTCTTGTAGATTTTTTACCTCTACCTCACTCACAATCACAGTTATGAGCATGTAGCTGGGCCCATAACCTGTTAGGTTTAACCGAAATAAACCAGTACGCAGTGGTATAATTGTACGAATCTTTATTAGTACAGAGGATAAAATAAACACACGTTCCACCTGGAATGGCGCGAGACAGAGAGAGCTGCGTTCCGAAACTCATCGATTACGAGCATAAGGGAGATCGGCAACAATACTGCCAACTTCTCCAGCGGTGTAACTAATCTTACTAGAATAACTGCACTCTTGCACCGATAATTCATTGCCTTTCTTCACAGGCGTGAGGGTGTAAGGATGAAGCCGCAGTGTGTCCGACGACGAGTTGACATAGTCCTCGTCAATGTCGGAAAGCTCTCATACTTAGGCCTAGGGAGGTATGAGAGTTATCACCCCTGGGATGGTGGACTTACCTGCGGTCGGATCAGGATCCCTCACGCGCGGGTTTTTCTTAACACACATGGCACCTTCAAACAAAAAATTTTTACATACATGCATCAGTGTCCTTGTTGCATCTCCTTTAAG